AAACTATAACCTCGTTGAATAGTTTAAGCGGACCCTGTTAATGCAATTGCCTCTGCTATTGAGAGGTAAGATATGACGAGTAACCAAACCGTGAATGTTGCGTACTTGTCTTACGAAAGCTGACATTGAAGTGTGCTTCTCCACGTTGGTGCATCTGTACACAAAAAGTGTAGTATTGCAAAGTGTCGTGTGTCGTGTCTGTGCGCTAGACACTCTCGGAACATAGCGTGCGCCCACGCGGGGTGCGAGGGGCGCCGTGCGGGTAGGCAACCCATCGCCATACGCGTAGGCCTGGCTGCCTACCTGTTTTGCCGTCCGGCAGGGGCTCTGCGCGCGTATCGAGCCCGACAGTGAGGCGAACCCGGGCCACGAAGGTGTAAGTGTTTGCCATACTTGAATGCAACTAAACCTTTGCTTTATTCTTTCTGTTGCATGTACCTGTGTGGAGGAGGAAGGCGTCGTGTGCACGTCTGCCTGCTTCGCTTGCTGCAGTGTTTTTTCCCGAGATGCACTCTCCCAGCTGACGCAGTCCACCACCACTATAAGACCACTCCCCTGACAGCCCCCGCTTGTGTGCCCGCGCTTCTAATGCAATAAAGTCCAGTTTACAGACACCATTTAAAAATGTATGCTACGCTTCCTTTAATTAACCTTGATTACTTTTAAGTTGCACTGTCATGCTTTGCCGCCACATCCAAAATTTGCAGCAGAAAAGTTTTCGATAGTGTTAAGGGTGAGAGGGGTGCAGCCCGCGTGCGACGAGGCCAACCCAAGCAACGGTCTGTACATTGCCAACCGGTCGAGTGGTGTGTTGAAAAGAAGTGGGTCATCCGGATAGATAGAAATCAAGGAGCACAATTTCAAATAGCCAATAGATGTATTTTCAACATGGCAGCCGTAGGTACAAATGTGATGAGAAGTCCGTATTTTCGGCGGATCGTAACCGCCACAGATTTGTTCTTTCTGGACTCGGAAGCACCGCACTTGAAACAGAGAGGAAACAATGTAAGTCATCTGTAGCAGATAAGGGGCGGGTGCTCCACTTTGGAGGAAAGTAGACTACTACCCCCTGCCCGTCGCCCGCGCCCCCCGCCCCGGTAGGGTCCCTGGTCACTACCTGGGCTCCTCTTGAGTGTGTCCCGTCGCGGGGCCCAAAACATGTCCAAAATAAAGAACTCACTGTAGTCCATTAAAAATCTAAATCAAGAATCTATCTTGAAAGCAGATGATACAAGTTTAAGAATAGGTACGTTTCCAATTTTCTCTCATATTTAGCTGTCATTTGTTTATGGTTGCTTGTTATTTGCAATTTTGTAATTCAACGTACAAGCGGCGTTGATTGAGGGGGAGATAAGGCGCGGGCAGAGCGGCCGGCGCCGGTGGGCTAGTATTGTTGTGCAGGGACGGTGGGACGGGGAGCCAATAGTATTGTTAGGCAGGGTAGGGGTAGGGGCCTGACGCGACAGCCACACAGCCACTCACTCGGTCCCCCAGCGCCAAAGAATTTGTTATCTGGTATGCGTTTGGTTCTCTGTACTCATCGAGAGTAAAAGCTAGCTGACACCTTAAAGTTACTTATATATTCTTTATGTTTAGTCAAAAGGTTAATTAACCTTAAGGTAAAAAACTACCTTAAGGTAGTAGCCCCAATCCACAGTACGAGATCTACTGCCACTTTTATGGCCGTCGAGTCGGCACTCACCACGACAGAGTCCCAGTAAAACTCATAAGGTAAGACATGAATCACGAAAAGACCGCAGCGGGGGCCATGACGCGCGGGTCACAGCACTCCCGGGGCCGCCGCCGGCCACCTCTGGGCAGCACTCCAGCAGCTGACTAAGACACGAATCACGACAAGACCTCCGCGGGGGCCATGACGCGCGGGTCACAGCACTCCCGGGGCCGCCGCCGGCCACCTCTGGGCAGCACTCCAGCAGCTGGTTACGTTAACGCACTACTAACGACTGGACCACAGCGGGGGCCATGACGCGCGGGTCACAGCACTCCCGGGGCCGCCGCCGGCCACATCTGAGCAGCACTCCAGCAGCTGACTAAGACACGAAT